ATTACTTACAATACTCATGCATGGCCGGGCCTCGCTTCCCGATGAGGCCCAGGTCGGATCGAAGCAGCGGCGGGGTAATTAAACACGACGGTCAAGGACGACGACGGCGAGCCAGGCTTTCACCATCATCATTTATCCTCCTCATGATAGTGACGATGATCCTCATCATAAGGATAACTGCACGTTTCTCACATCAACAGCCGATGCTGTCTTTGTCATCATCACCATCCTCCTCGGCCCAGTTATATCGCCAACTCATCTGGTTGGGCCGACAGAACGATGATAACGGTCATTACCGTTACACTGATGACGATCGGGTTTCCGGTTGCGTCAGTCGTGTTTACGTAGCCTGCAATTGGATGCCCGAAAACGAGAGTAAAACTGACAGTGACCGAGTTCAACCTCAACATCGTTTGCTTTACACCGTTCGTGCTGAAGATTCGCCCTTGACGAGGGGTCTGGCGAAGTTGTTGACGTCGAAACTGAATGGCAAGACCCCAGAGGTGACACTGGGACGATTTTCAGGAAATGTTATTTTACCTGTTGTTTTCAGGAAGTGTTGGCGGTTGACGGTGAAGAGCTCGTCGAGCATTTCGGCCTGGCTCACTCGTTGACGCCGCAGAGAACCAACGGTTTTGTGAGCATGATAAGACACATGCAGAGACAGGCTGATGAGAAGCGGCGAGAGCGACAACGCCATCTACGAGGACGGAAGAAGCGGCTTTCGTGAGCACTCCGAGTTGTATTATTGATCGTGTTGATATATTAGCCTTAGCTTGATAGCCACCATTGCTTCTGTCTGTTGTTGTTAACGAGTGATGCTAAGGAGGTCTGAGGTTTACTCAAGACGCGTGTGTGTGTGAGTTCATAGTCCAGCAGCGGTCGGTCCGGCTTGGTCAGACTCATCCTGCATAATGACAAGGACATCATGGTTCAGACAGAACAGCTGGTATCATAGCAACATCGGTAAAGCAACTTCCTGACAATGGTTGTCTTCAGAGACTTCCTGTAGCGATTGATGCGCAGTGCGATCAGACGTGAATTGCTACCGTCATTGAAGACCAGAAGCAACGAATATTAAAAACGTGGAGTTTCGCAAGACTTAAGAGACCTCTCCGCGAATGGGGGAGTGACCTTTCCGCTGATTCAACGGTGTGATGGTTATGTCGCTGATCCCATCTTGCTCCGATAAGAAGCTACGCTGAAGCTAAGTGGCGGATGATAAGAAAACAGCAGATGAAAGATCGAATTCCAGATGGCAAAACCCGGGTGTTGGGATCTCAACCAGCCAGTCTCTTCTCTACGGCGTTGGAGACGAGGGCCCGGAGTTTCAGTAGCGAGGGCCGCATCGTTATCATCGACCTCCTAAAGAAGCGTCTTGACGAGTCGTCTGATTGCACTGCATGCCAACGCTACAGAGAACCCCCGAGCACATCGGCCTCGAGTCTAGCGAAGCGGGAAGCGTCAGCGTTGGACTGTAAACTCGCTCACACATATGTATTCGGTATGATGAAGTCAGATACCCGACGGTGCGATGCACGACGGTTGAACTCGCCCTTATTCAACGACGAGACATAGTGTTGCGGTCTGCCTGAGTTTCCGTCTCCCTTCTATACACGCATGTCCTGTCTCCATTTTTTCGAGCGAGGAAATTTCCAGTTACTGGAAGACAACTTGAGTTTCGTAACACTGTTGTAGCGAACCCAGTAACAGCTGTGCCGCGGCAGTGCTAGGGTTCCGCTAGTTAGACACAGCCCCGCGGTGGATCCTGGCCAGAAGGAACAAGTCTCTTTCTCCCGGTCGTCATGGCAGCGTTCGGGCGTGTAGCTGAATAACGCGACAATGAGCCCATCGTTAAGAGGCTAGGACGTCGGCATCAGGTCCAAGCGTGCGACGGCGTTGGACTTCAAACGGGCAAACACTGACCAGTACCAGAAACCCGAGGTTACTGTTGCCTTTATTGAGCACTGAGGTGCCCACTAGTCACCTAATACGAAAGGCTATTCTCGAGGCTGTCTAAAGCGCTGCGGGCTCTCTTCCTGCGGGGCTGATACGCCCTTGGCTTTCGGTAATCAGAAATCGCTACTGTCTTCCCTCAGTTCAAACGTTGTGAACTGTGATCATGCATCCTACCCTACCGGTATCGTCGTCTACTGCGAATACTTCGTGGCCGGCTGGCCCTCGGCGGAGCGTATTTACTCCAGCCAGTCTCCCTTAATATCAGGGGACCTCATCTTCCACCCAGACCACAGCTTCGACATCGACATCGTCTTGCGTGGGTGTAAGATTTCTGTCGACGGCTTGACGTTCTCGAGCCCCGTCCCCGTGCTGGATATGGTGATGATGCACAAGATGCCCATCAGCTACAACGGCACGTCCCTGACGAATGCTGTTGAGAGTTGTTCTAATGCGAAGATCAAGGTTTCTGACTTCGGCGTCCCGTTGACCTGCTACTATCTCAAGGGCTTTACCACCTGGGATGATCTCCATACCTTTTGGGGGGAGACGCCGGGCATCTTTGTATACCGTCGTCGTCGATTTCTCGACCAGATGTAGGGCTCTATCGGTTGTCTGGCTATGACTAGTACCAGGCAGAGAAGATCATCCCCAATGTCTGAGTTACAATTCGTCCATTCTCAGTCACGAAGGAGTTGCGAAGGATGCTCACCTTATTGCTAATTATTGCGCTTCATCATTCTGGAACTCACTCAGGCACTTTGGAGGGGTCGCTGGATTTCTATTTATTGCGTTTTTCCCGGCTCACCAATACTCGGCGGGTTCGATGGTCTACCGTTGACATCATTATATCAGTCGCAACAGAGTAACCGTAGTTACCAGCAGTTGCCAGCTGCCATTCCGTTGTCCATCTGGCTGCATCTAACGTCTTCTCGTTGTTAATAAGTGGCTTTTAATTTCATTCCCGCACGAGTGTGCGGCGGCCACATCCTCTTTGTTCGAACTCACAGCCCGTTATCGGTCATCTCAGCTAGCCTCCTCGCCGCTCCCTTCAGCTGAGAGTCCCAAACAGTCGCTCATAAGCTGCGTGACTGTGTCGGAAGAGCCCTCTTCCTTTCCACCTCTTGTCGGACGAGAACTCAAGTGTGACAAAGAGAGCTCTTCGAGAGCTATAAAGCGGCGCTTACTTGCCACCTTTAAGCTCTCGAACAGCTTCTCCTGACTCAGGAGAAGGCTTCTCTTTCAGACAGCCTCAGGAGTCCCGAGACTGTCTTGATCGGAGTGTCGCTGCAACCATAGGCGTGTGCCGACAGGGAAGTCATGGAGGACAGAGGCACTGAGCACACCTTCGAGCATGCCTGATCGTTTGCTATATTCAACGAAGTTTAGGCGATGGTCACAGCCCGGAGATAGACCTTCAACACAATAATCGTTGAGCAGTTGCTCCCTCATCTCTCAATGCCCGCCAGCCATCGCATCATCGTTAGATACCTTCTACTAGCAACCGGTCCGCTTCTCGACACTCTTTTTTGCTCGGCAGCCACGAAGCCAAGCACGGCTCAAGGGCGCCTTGCGCCCTCCCCAGAGGACATCCCGCCGGGCATGTACGTTCCGTGCTCAGTGCCACCCGAGCTCGAGACCATTAACTTGGCCGGCTTGCAATTCAAGTACCCTACGGGCTCGGCGCTGGTGCGTGTTTCCTATGCCGGTGCGGACACGTCTACGTGGCACTCCTTCTATCAGCTGAGGCCCTCCATGATGGGGGATGGGAGATCCACGAAAGCTCGGCATCGCTAAATGTTATTTTTTCCTACCTCCCTTGCCAATCAAGCTTTGGAGGGCCTCCGCGTTCGAAGGCGTCACGCGGTGGAACGAGGATCACGGTAACGCGATCTTGTGTACGAGGAGCACATCCACCAGAAGCAAACCAGAATTAACACTTTACTTGGATGCTGTCCACGGAGGCCGGAGAACATATAGGGAGCTCAACCTGCCGGTTGATTTGATGATAGAAGGAACCCATAGGAGTGACCAAGCTTGGACTTCTTTCAGGGAAGCTTATATGACTGATGATAACCCCTTTAATGAATGGCCCTGGGCATCCCCCGTCACTGGTGAGAAGAACGTGAAAGATGGTACTTACTTCAACGAGCTGTCTATATTATATCTCGAAACTAGAAGCGATGGACGTCAACGTGCAACGTTCACCTCATGGGTCGACAAGTGGAAGTTTGGAACGCTCGAAAATATTTTGGTCCTCCATGATGAGAATTGTTCCAAGCTGGAGGGACTCGACATCCGCATTTGCCAGTTGGATGATGACCAGCTTCTTGTGAAAGGATACGGGCACGAGGATACGTTATTGTACTTCAGTTCGGATGCATTTCAATCGAGCTGAGCTCCTCCTCCTGAGTCGAAGCAGAAGAAGGCGAGATGATGTCGCAATAACTGCGGATCTAGCTGATCTCCGACACGCGAATTTGGTGTTCAAGATCTCGCCCACGCGTTGACTTACCAGTTATCTAGAGCATAAACTATAAGGGTGCTTCAGAACCTCGGTAAGTGCGAGGCATTGTAACTCCTCACTGGAACCTAGTGTCTCAGACGTCAGGTTAGCTTTCAGCTATCACTCAGTGGCTGCAGTGGCCGATCGAAGGCCCTACTTTTGACACTAGCGTTCTCCATGATTTTGGTCGTATAAGACGACTCGTATTCACTCAAGATTCCATCTCCGAAAGGTCACACGTCAAGTTCTCACAAAGATTTGAGATCCTCTGGCTTCGGGAATGTGGAGGCAGAGAAACTCGGCTAACGTGAGGATCTGAGATGGCGGCAGTATCAATACACGACGCGCCGCGATAACTGGAGGGCCACGCGGGCGCCTGAAACCATCTCTACGCCGACGAGAAAACCGACGAGCGCGCGTTTCGCTGTTTATGTAGTGCCAGACTCTCGACTCTTTCAAGGCCAGAGGCAATGCTTGGCCTGTGGCACGCTGGAAAGCCTTGTCAACACTTTGAAGGCGCCGCTTCATGAATTGCATAAGGGCGCGCCCGGATTTGAACTGAAGATCTGCTGATTTGCAGTCAGCCTCTCTACCACTGAACTGCACACTCTACACAAAGTATGTAACATAGCCTACTTCGCGCCTCGACTGCTGGCACCACTCGAACTATCCCCGACTTGCGGAATTGTTTGAACGGCTAGCAACGGTACTTAGCAGCACCCTACCCGAGCATCGAACTCGCTAGTTCCACTCTAGGAGGGCGGCGCCTTGTCCATTGGGCCAGCAGGATTTAAACAGTCCATCGTTATCCACTTCGAAATAGGGACCTGCTTAACTGTGCTGGGACTTCCATGTGGCCCACTCCCATACCTCTGTGACAGCGTTCCATGACTGAAGTAAGAGCGCGCCGGGATCTGAACCGAGGACCTGCTGATCTGCAGTCAGCCGCTCTACCACTGAGCTACACACCCTGCAGAATCACCGTAATATAGCCAAATTAGTTATTTAACATCAAGGAAATTCGACTGAAGAGAATATTTCGAATCGATCGAATGCCTTGCAGCCTCACTCAACAATACCCTACCCGAGGATCGAAATCGGAATATGCACCTTAGTAGGGTGGCGCCTCATCTATTGGGACAACAGGTCTTCGCGCACAAAACACTTTTCATTTCAACATCATTTCACATCCATTTCGAGGACCTGCTAATTGACGTGTGCAAACTTCAAAGGCCGTGGTTCGAAGCTAATCGCTGAAGGGCCCGCGGGGAAGACACTACTACTCTAGGAAGGAAAAAACGGATTAGTCAGACGACAAATGACGTTTGGATCAACCTATTCAGAGAAGGAAGCGATCAAGGTTATGTTCAGTTGAGTGTGACGGCCCAGGGCTCTAGGAAAGCCAGTCTTGCCATCAGAATAGCCGGGGAGCAGATTCTCTGTGCATGATGCCTCTCTTCTCGACCCTTGTAGATGATGTTGCGGAGTCTCGTCCTAGGAGCCCGAAACTCCAGGAGCGCCAACTTTTTTAACACCACTGTTGCGAAAGACAACGAGAGGGCGGTTGTAATCCATCGTGCAAGCATCATCAACATGACAACTTATGTCATCTGTGTTACTCAATGCTCGAGGGCGCAGCCTCCTTTCCTTGTCATCATACACGAGGGATCTCTACTCCCTGCAACTGCTACGGTCATCAGCCACCCCAAACTCGGAAGGATATCGTTCAATGGCCTTCTCGATTTTCCGCTTCAGTTTACCCTCCGCGATCAGGTCCTGAGTCACTCACAGGGAAAGCCTCCAACAGCAACACGTAGTCATACTTGTTACCTCATAGTCCGAGTTTCTCTCTGTGCCGGGCATAATACCACACCAATCGCAAATCACTTCCACACTGAATGTTATATTATCCCACAATGCTTCAGCATAGCCCCTTCGGCATCTCTGCCCGTCGCTCATATCTGCCACAGGTCTCACTACCGATGTTACTGCACCTGCATGTCGTAACCCCTACCAGACGACGTTGATGGTCCTTCGCCGATCTTGCGTGGTGATGGCATGCTACTAAGAAACTACTACTAAGCCGTCGCAGTTTTCCTGATGCGTTCGACCCCCTTCAGTGTGAAGGAGCCTTGGGAAGTTGCTCGTCCTATTGTTTTACCTATCCCTATGCCCAAGCAATGCTGTAAGCTATGTAGCGGCAGAACGCTTCTTCAAAAGCCTCGACTCCAGTGTGGTATCCATAGAAGGACGTTAGACCATTTAAGCGATCTCAAGCGTGTGCCAACAACTTTGCAGCCCAGCGAGAACACCTAGTCAGCGATGGAACTCGGTCCGACTTGCGGATGGTTTTCAAGCGGAAGTCAGTGTCGATTGGTTCGGCAGGACAGCTAGGTAGGCATTGCGCTTCGCCTGCCGTGCGGCGGTTGGCGTCCGACTGGCCCGGCGGGGGAAAAGATGCGATAACTAAACACCACTGGCAGGATTGAGACGAGCCTGTGAATTAATACATGGGAACCACCTAGACGCCGCTGCGGCCATGATCAGCATAATAGTCGACTTCGACGCAGCCGAATTTATGCTCCGATCGTCCGCGTCTCAAGGCTGGTGGGGAGATGGCATCTTGTGATCGCCGCGAGCCGGGCGACTGCAACGCCGGAGACTAAGAACACAGACGGCCATAGGAGCAACTCTCACCGGACTGTGGACGCCCTCGACCGCAGTGTCACTCTTGGCTTCTTTGAGCTTTTGGGATTCGACAACATCACGGATCTTGCCCAACGTCTCCTGAAAGATTCCATCCGGGATGCCCAACCCTTCACCCGAACCCACCTCATCGTCGAGGCCAAACAGGCTGCTCCAAAGGGCAACTAGTCTCTCGTCCTCAGGACTGATGCTGAGGGCTCTCGGATCTTCCCTACCACGGTCCTTGATGTGGTCGGTCCAAGCGTCAACCTAAGATCCTGCCTCCCACAACCTGGCCCAACACTCTCGCCACCGCCAGTCTCGAATGCTACCATGGGATGAGTAAACTGATTTCCCACGGCACACCTGCCAGCATCGGTCCCATACCATCTCACCAACAACTCAGCAAGACTCCACTTCCCTATCCCGCATCTCGCCCGCACCTCCGCATGGCATTCATGCACTAGCAGCTCGCTCATCTCAAGATTCAACTCCGCCAGACACACAGACAGACAAGTACCTGAGCAGGCCCGCAAGCCGCCTGTCCGAACGGAAGCAGTACTATTAAGTTCGTCCGGCAGATTGACGATCTCCTCGAGCACAGCCTCGCCGTACTTCGACCGTATCTGACTCCAACCCGCCTTAGCGACGGACTTTCCAGAACAACTCCCCTTGCCTTATCGATGAGGAGCTTTGCGTTGTCGATCTTCATTTTGTCTATAGCCCAGTAGAGCGGCGTTCGCTCCTCGAGGTCCGTCTTCAGCGGGTCCGCCCCACGATCTGAAATAGTTCCTGCAGGCTCGTTCTCGCAGGAGGAAGTTGCGCAGGAAGCCCGCGAAACTTATTTTCTCCAAAGGATTCAGTTTTTGGAGTACCATAAATTCCGCAAATCCTTGATGGCGGCTCTCGTTAAGTAGACATTACAGTTCTCAGAGTCACGGAGTCCACCCTAGCCCCCTACCAAATAGGAAGTCTATCACCGCCGTTGGGTTCCTCGAGACAGCAGCGTAATGCAGCGCCGTTGCCCCTGTCCTCGGGTTCGCCAAATTCACGTCACAATGAAAATTATCGACCAGTTTCCTCAATACTGGTAGGGCATTCTTGTCGTGCGGTTTCTGGCACACCTGAGTATCGTACTTCAGATTCCACCTCCCGCTCCACAAACTTACTTGTTGAAGGATTGTGTCGCCTGTCTCCGGGTTGGGAGCATCCGGCAGCGCTCCAAATTCCAGCAAAATATTCAGCAACTTCTGATCGCAATTTTTCTCCAATGCCACTCGGAAAGGACTCAATTGTTGATTCGAGTACACGTTTACCTGCATCATCACGCACAGCGAAGATTTCAAAGATACCCTTCCCTTCGTCCCTACGTCCGCCCCAGCCTTTAGAAGCAGCTCCACCATCTCGCCCCGCGCCTTCGCCTTCTTCAGCGCGGCGAACAGCGGCGTTTCGCCGTTTCCGATTTTCTTGTTAGGGTCTGCGTTGTATTCCAACAGGATCTTAGACAACTTGGGGACACCCCTGTTAGCCGCCGCATACAGCGGACTGAAGCCCGTCGTCGGTGCAGTGTTTGGGTCTGCTTTACCTGGGAAACGTGCCGAAGGGGATAAGGGGAATCAAAAATGGGGAAAGGTTAACCACAGTTGTCAAAATTTGGCATAGTTTTTTTCATGCCGAGCTGAGTAGTTTCTCGCGAGCCAGTGGGTTCACAGTACAATGCCGAGACTGTCCATGTTGACTACTGAAGCCGGCGGACGTTCCACAGAGACAAAACTAGTGTACAGACTCGGATGATCTAGGGAGACCATCGGACCCCACCATTGAGAAGTAGGACGACCATCTCTTCATGCAGCTTATCAACTGCGCCGTACAGGGCGGTGGTGCCGGTCTTGGGATGGACCCAATTAAGATCAATCCCCGCGTCAATAGCAGCTTGACAAGCAGCGAGGTCGTTGTTTCTGAGATGGGCGAAAATGTATATTCGTGAATCGCTTCGCTCCGCTAACAATGAACGACCTTGTGGCAGTGTGCAAGTCCATCGCTTGCAGAAGGGCGAGCATCTCCTTATCTGTCGTCAGGTCAAACGGAGTTCGACCAATCGAGTCCGTGACGCAAAGTTGCGCTCCATGGGTTGTCAAGCATTTAACCTGATCGCCACTGTCGAATAATTTCGTGGCGCGCGACGGTGAATGCTCACCATATCTCTGTCATTGTTAATCACTGCAAGCATCAGCGGAGTTAGTCCCCCAACATGACTGACGTCATTAGGGTTGGCGGAGTTCTCGATGAGTAGCGACACCACATCGACGCTACAAGAGCTTCCCACAGCCTAGAGAACCAGAAGGGGCCACCGAGCGCATTCGGACTGGGCACTCTAGCTAGCACCGCGGGTTTGCTAGCGTTAGTCCTCTTACTATATCGGACGATGAACACCAATTCTTTCAAGTTGTGGGCGAGTTGTGAATGCAGGTTGAAGCTAGTCACAGTAGAACGAGATGAAGACTAAACCCCCGACCATTCGATAGCCTACTCAGTCTAAGTAATGTCAAGTAATGTAATGTCAAATGTCAAGTTTATAATCGAGCGCGAAGACTGCTTTTCCCGCGACTCGGTGGCTCTCTTGACGGAGGACCCCTAACGATCATGCAAGATCCGATTTTGGAGCTCGGAAAAGCAATTTCACGCGAGTAGACGTGGACCCAAGCAGATGGTGGAACCCTCCGGGGGGGGGAAGTCATTTGAATCGTTCTTTTGGCAACATCGCCCTCACCAAGAGTAGCAAGCTTTCTTGCGTCTCCGGATCTACGTAAGTGGCTTCCACGCCTCTGCTGTTGAGCAGCTCTTGCATGCTCTGACAAGCGTCCTTCTTCCTCGGAATGTCGTCGCCGCTCTCGTCACCCAGGAGGAACGACACCGTGCGGCGCT